GTATTGATGGAGGGTCTTCCATGCGTGGCCAATCCTCCTGCCAAGAGAGGGGTACCAGCTGCGCAACGAGGATGGGCTTTCGGGGGAAGGGCCGGCGGTCCAAACATCGCAGGCAGAAGGAGGGGGTTCCGGATCGCCGCGTTTCCTCCCCGCTCCGATTCTCCCTGGAGTGTTGCGTACCGCGGAAAGTCCGCGGGGTCTTCCCTTGAGCTTCTTCACCAGAGCCGAGGTGACGAGGGGCTTCGGGCTGCGAGGTGCGGAGCAAACAGGGTGTCGAGCGCTTTGATCAGAGCCAGCTTCCTTCCAGCCCCCTCGGCCCCGGCCCCTCGTCGCGTCCCTCACGACAGCCGCGCCACCTCGGCTGCCGTCCCCTGGCGTCCCCGGTACTGTTCCCGGAGGAGCCGCGAGGCGCTGGGCTCCGGGACGCGGGCTCTGCTCCCGCGCGGAGGCGGTTTCCACGGGCAACGGGACGGCGCCCAGCATCCCGCCCCGGGGAGCTGCTCCAAAAGCCTGGGGAGAACCGGACGGAGAGGAGCGGCGGGCAGGAGACCCTCCGCCGCACCAGCGGTGTGCTCGCCACCCCGGGCCATCTATACTTGTTGTTTGTTGATTGTATGTCTTTTTTTTTTTTTTAAGTAGGGAGGTTTTTATTTCCTAGTTTTGCGTACTATTTACACGGGTGTTTTTTTTTAATCCTCACCCCAGGGTATTTTTCCATTGATTTTGAGGGAGAGTGGAAGAGAGAGGGAAAGACAGAGAGAAACATTGATGTGAGAGAGACACATGGATTGGTTGCCTCCTGCCAGGGCCGGACAGGGGAGGAGCCTGAACCGAGTTCCTGCCCTTGACCCAAACCGAACCGGGACCCTTCATCAGCAGGCTGACTCTCTATCCACCGAGCCAAACCGGCTAGGGCTGTTTACAAGTTTTTGATAAAAATTAGAGACTTAGACCATTATTTTGAGAATAGCTGTATGTGATCTCCCTCTAGTGGCCATATTGAATAATGTTATGTAATTCAAAATTCTTCCGGAGCTCAATTTACCCATTCAAGTCCCGCATATTTGACAGCTGTGTCATTCCTTATTAATTTGACTTTTGTGTTTTCTGAAGCAGTAAATTAACTTGTGTTATGGTCCCCAGAAACACATAGTGCCTAACCAGGAAACTTGGCACTCTCTGAACCTGGCAAAATAGTAGCCACCTAAAATAATAATTACTGTGTTATTAGCACCTTAATAGTAATTCAGAAACATATGTACTTGTTGACATAGGGTAGCCATGGTAAATGTCATGTAAATGACGACTTTCAAAAACATGCATAAGGAGGACAAATAGCATAAAATAAAATAGCAGAGACAAAAATTTTAAACATGTGTAGTGATTCCTTTGCAACTTCCTTTGAATCCATATTTCAAAATAAAATTTTGAAAATATCATTGGTCATGAAAAATGGAAATGGATCCAAACTCTCCAGCTAAAAGAATAAGAGTGTCAATTTAGAATTTTAGAAAATGAAAAAATAAAATATAGAGTTTACAGGGAACATACCTCAAACATACAGAATGGTTGGAAGTAAAGGAGTATAAAAAGATAAATTAGGCAAATACAATCTCAAGGAAAGCAGGTGTTGCTTTGTTCATTTAGGGGAAAACGACTTTAAGAAAAAGCATGACTACTGATAAAGAGGACTACAACTTAAAGATAAAAAGTTAAATTCACCCAGAAGATATAGCAATTATAATCTTGTATGACTTTAAAAACAAAGCCCTAAAACATGTAAAGAAAAACTTGACAGAACTAACAAGAAGAAATAGGCAAATCCACCATTAAAGTGGCTATGCTTTTATATGGCAGACAGTATGCTGTAGACAATCATATTTCTGCTGGTATAATTTCTCCTACTTTATATGATGAAATTCCATATACCTACATTTCATAGTGCACGACAAAAATTATGATGGGTTCCTGGGGCTTCATTATTGGGAAAAAATTGCACTAGAAATGGAAGCATGTTAGTTCCCTAATAATTCAACAAACACTTATTGAACAACTATTATGTTTAAGATATCATGTTTAAAGAGTCCGTTGTTGTACATATGTAGTCAGCCATTTAATAACCATGCATAAACTGGAGTTTCATAGAGATTTGTAGAGAAAACTGCCCTCAAGTCTCTCTCTCCCTACAGTCACTCTCAGTTAAGTGTGAGCCTCCTTCTTTTACTGATTGATTGATTGATAGAGAGAGAGAGAGAGAGAGAAATTGATTTTTGTTCCATTTACTTATGCATTCATTGGTTGATTCTTGTATGTGCCCTGACCGAAGATGGAATCCGAAATCTTGGTGTATCCAGATGATGCTCTAACCCACTGAGCTACTTTGCCAGGACTGTTTTTCCTCCTTAAAGAAATGTCCTTGATGGAACAAACAATAGTAAGAGTTTCCAAAATTATGATGTCTTTAGTATATTATCTTTTTTTTTTTTAATTCTCACCCAAAAGTATTTTTTCCATTGATTTTTAAAGAGAGTGGAAGGGAGATGGAGAGACAGAGAGAAACACCAATATGAGAGAGACACATTGATTGGTTGCCTTCTGCATGCCTCCAACCAGAGCCGGGAGCCTGCAACCGAGGTACATGCCCTTGACTGGAATCGAACCTAGGACCCTTCACTCTGCAGACCGACACTATCCACTGAGCCAAACAGGCCAAGGCAGCATATTATCTTTTAAAATTAAGAAAATACTATAGCAAGAATGAATATTGACAAACTCAGCTGTACAAAACAACTTAGTTTCACTTAAGAGACTCCCTTCTGCCTGGTGGTGGAAACGATTAGTGTCCCCTTGTCTCTCTGCTGTTTTCCAGTGGAATTTCAGGAATTTCTAAAGTCCAGGAATTTCTGTGGCACTAAGGATGGGGACGGAGGGCCATGTGGTCTGGACAGTCCTTTACCCATGCTGCTGGGTCCTTATTCCTTTCTGATCTTCAGTCATGGCCCCGTCAAGGTCACTCCTGACACCTGCCTCATTCCCAGCCATGAGGCTCTGCAGGTCTGGCTTCCTCTCAACTAACTCTGGTGACCTTGAAACAAGGTGTTATTCTGCCGGCCCGCACCCCCCCTGGGGCAGGAGAGCCTCATGGGGCTCTGCAGGGTCCTTCACGCTAGCAGGCTGGCCTGCGGTGCCTGGGAGTTGCTCTCCTGCTCATTTTTAAAGCATTTCATGCTTGGATGAACGCTGAGGCTGCCTCTGACCTTTGTACTATAACAACGCCTGGCCCTTTCTCCCTGCTTCTTGCTGCCTCCCTGGGCTGGGGAGAGTCCTGGGCCCCCTTTCTCCAGGAACCACGCTGGCCTCTGACTCCTGGCTCTCTCTCTCTCTGGCAATCTTCCTTTCCCCTCAGATTTGGGAAAACTTGATGTAATCATTGGAAGGGCGGGGTGGGCAGGACACGCTGCTTTCCCTCAGGTATTCTACCAAATCTATGGTTTATATCTGAATTCTTTCTCTTCCTCTGGAAATTCTAATGCCATGAATAGACGACTTTCTCTGCTTTCTGAATGTTTTCTTTTTCTGAGGCAATGACATAGAATGTCCAGCTGGCCAAATGAGGAAAGGGTCCTGGGGTAAAAGAAGCATGTTAAAAAACAAAACAAAACAAAACAAAACAAAACACCTCATTCATTAAAATTGCTATTTATTAGCAATACAGATGAGCAAAAATGGCCCCTCTAGTAACCTTCATTAGACATTGATTTTAATAATAACAGGAATAAAGCAAGTGTTTTAAAGAAATGATTGGTAGGGTGTGTGCAACACTGAATACTAGGGAAGCCAGTTCAGAATGTACTTGGAAAATCAATCAAGTTCACTCCAGGTGAGTAATGGCTTTATTCACAGAGAATGCAAGCCAGGGAAACCAGAAGGTAAAGGCGGATGGTTATGGTCGGAAGGCAGTACTTATACACACATAACAATAAGCTTAATTGTGCCATCAAATACTGAGATGCTGTTGGAGTTTTGGATAAAGTAAGGAGGAGATGGGAAGTTGAGAGAAGCTGTGGATCTCTATGTAGGAATGGGGGAGGGGGCCTGCCTGTGTGGGATGGGGGAGTGTGCTGTCCCTGTGGGGGAGTCCCCAGGCGCTCTGCCTCCAGCAACCACTGAGTCAATTCTCCGGGGATGAGGGTCTTCAGGGAGAAGTCCATCTGATCATCTTTTTTCTTTTCTTTTTTTTTTAATGACTTAGAGGTTCCTCTGCCCCCAGAAATCACCTACTTTAAATAATGATGCCTAAAATCCCTCTCATGCCACTTTTTGGTTCATACAATGTGAAAAATACAAGGTCTGAGAGGTAACACATCA